GGAGGGGGGAGGATCGTGCACCCGCCGCGGAGGGGCCTCAGATACAAGGGGACCACGCATGCAAGGGGGAGGGGGCGGAGGGGGTGCGGCATTCATCCTCGGGGGCAATCACGCATCCCCGGGAGGGTCGTGCATTCGCGGGGATCTACCAGGGACTGGGCGGGTGGGGTGCCACCGTGCGTGCACTGGCGCGCAGTGCTGGGCGCAGGCGGGGAGAGGCCGCCGCCGTGGCCGGGGTGGCGTGTGGGTCCCCGGGCGTCAGGATGGGTCGGAGGGGTGAGCGTGGCCTGCCCGGCACTCACGCGCGCTCTGCTCGGCCGCCAGCAGCAGGGCGGAGAGGCCCAGGACCCCCGCGTGCATCCTCTGCGCCCGCCGCGCCGCTGGCCTGCCTCCCGGGCCCCCGCCCCTTCCCCTCCGGCCGCCCCGAGACGGGGAGGGTTCCGGCCGGAGACCCGACTGCAGGATGCATTTCGGCTGAGCCTTTAGGCGCAGAGTGTCTCGTCCTGGGTTTTCCTGAGTAGCTAGACGGGTCGGAGGGAGGCAGGGAGGGGGGCAGAGTTGTCTGCTTCCTAAGCAGGGAAAGTACCGATTACACCCGGCCTCTAGATGTGCGCAAAAGCAGTTCCTCTGCCGTCCCCCAACCTTATAACGGGCCCTGGAAAAGTACTACGTGAACCTTAGGACCGCAGGTCGGTGGTCAGCAGGAAGTTAAATTGGCCACCGCCTCCGGAGCCGCTGAAAGGCAGTCTGGTCAACCACTAGGCAGAGAGCACATGTAGGTCTATGGAAGGAGTTGAGTTAGAACCGTTCATTAGTCTTTTCAAAATCTTAGAGAGCATGTAAACTGATATCTTCTGTATCTCACTCTCAACTCCATCCCAATCTCTGTCCTCACAAAAGGTTTTTTTTCCACCTGGGCTTCAGGGTTAATCAAGATTCCCATGCACAAGAAGTAAACCTGCCCACTGGAACACCTTCTTCCAGAACATACATCTATCTATCTATCATCTATCCATCCATCTATCTAACTATGGTGTAAAGGAGAAGTGGTATTTAGTCATGGTGATGCTGAGATGAAGTTGGGATCTTTAACTTTTAAAGCGGACAGTTATCCAAACTATTCCTCCTTTTGATTTGGGGGGAGTTTTCCACCTCCATCAAGGATTTGCCACGTCCAAACCATCTTGCTGCGCTGATCCCACTAGTTTAATGAGATGGAGTACCCCCTCCTTCCCTACAAAAGCCCTGCAGGAGAAAGAGCCACAGTTGAAGAACTTACATCTTGAAGGAAAATATGTAGAGTTGGGTGACCCTATAAATCAAGTGAAGCTACAAAACTCATGATTATTTTCCATTTACCAAAGTAAAACCGCAAAGTCAGACATCTTTGGCTCTTCCCTGCATTTTCGATGTGATTCTTACAAAATGCTTTATTTCATTGAAGGTAATGTTGATTTATCCTAAGAGGCTTCCTTCCCTCCCTTCCCCACGACCAATTTTCCACTCACTTTTCAACGCATTTCTGGTTTTCTGGTCAGAACTTTGAATTCTGATCTTCCACGTCTCTCCCCATTTCAGAGTCTCAGTTCTGTGATACAGATGATCAAACCCCCTGTAAACCTTTTGAGTCTCTTCCCTCTACATCAATACAAGGGAGCAGGTTTAAGGTCTGGGTTTCCATACCTTCAGGTTCATACCTCATTGTTAAGAGGCCCACTCCCTCTGGTGTACTACAGCCTCCATTTTTACTGACTTCCAGTCCCCAGACCCTCTTCTCCTGGTTGTTCTGCAAAGGGAGTACGTCATAATGTGGACCCACTGGGAGAAGGACCCTCCTCCACTAGTAAAGGAATAGAAAATTGAAGTCACGTACAGAAATTGCGATTGAGAGTAAAGGGGGAATCGTTGTGGTATTCCATACTTTGCTCAAAGTTTCAAGTTTTAGAAAAAAATGTTTCCTGAATTCCTAGGTTTTTAGGTTTTTTTTTTTTTTGGTACGCAGGCCTCTCACTGTTGTGGCCTCTTCCGTTGCGGAGCACAGGCTCCGGACGCGCAGGCTCAGCGGCCATGGCTCACGGGCCCAGCCGCTCCGCGGCATGTGGGATCTTCCCGGACCGGGGCACAAACCCGCGTCCCCTGCATCGGCGGGCGGACTCTCAACCACTGCGCCACCAGGGAAGCCCCCTAGGTATCTTTGAAGAATAAACATGTAGCCCATTTTCATATGTTAAAAAAGAACCCAGTGATTTAAAGTTTAGGAGGAGGGTCTTTCTCCTGGGACAGCAGCAGTTTGAATAGGAGCTACAGTTGATGTCTTCTGCCTCGAACCTATGAGAGGGTTCTTGGAAGGAAAGGTAGAAAATAGAAAACTTCATGGAGAAAGGGGTTTATACTGTCCCAGGAGAATAGCCTCAGCTCAGAAAATAGTGGTTCCCACTCTGCATCAGAGCCATGGGATGAAAGAGATCGTGATGTGGTGTGAGGGGGAGGAATCTGCAGAAATCTTGGAAACTAGAGAATCATGTATCACTAAAGTGTAAACACCTGACCCCATACCTAAGCCTTTTGAGTTCGATTGAAACAAATCCCCACAGATTCCTTCCACCTTCTCGGGCCCACGGCTCTGCCGTGTGACTTTGCCACTTCTCTCATTAAGGGCTGGACCTTTCTCTTCACCCCCAGAATGTGGCCAGCCTGCCATTTGCTCTGAGCAACAGAATGTGGGAGAACTTATGTGGTAGGAGTTCTAAGCTGAGCCCAGTGGCCCTGCAGCTGCTTCTCTGTCTCTGTCTCTGTCTCTCTCTCTGGGAGTTTCTCTGCCTCTGCCTCTCACTTTGTCTCCGTGGGCCTGTCACTCTCAGCACCCGAGCCTGTGAAGAAGCCTGGGTCAGCTCGACCAAGAGAGCCCTGAGTTCCCCCCAGTGACTAAGCTTCAGAGAGGTTTCTTCCAGGCCCCTCTGCCACTCAGACAAGCGGCCAAGGTGCCCCCAAACACACCTCCTTGTGAAATGCTGCCCTCCTGTGCTCACCATTGTAGGGGAACAGCTCTGAAATCCCTTGTCCAGCTAGGAATGCCGAGCACAGACACAGGTATAGGTCAGCGTAGATAAATCCCAGTGGGACGTGCACTCCTCTGGGAAGGGAGTGTGCACATCACCACTCCTGGGGGTCCCAGCACCTGCACAGGCCTCACCCCTTAACATCCTCACCCTCAAGCCTGTGGTTTGGGAATTGTGCTACTTTGTGCTACGAGAACACAAGTCATCCCAGTGGATATCCTGGAAGAATTTCCCTCGAGATTTAGGTTCGATATTGATGTGTCTCAAAGGATAACACTCCAAGTCCTGCAGACAAAGTGGGGAGATCCGCTTTGTGAGAACAGTCGTTTTTTCTTAGCGAAAAGTATATTGCACTAATTATTTTAAACACTGGAATGTGTTGTCGCTGATAGTTTCATTCCTGGAGATTTATTCCATGAGCTTATGCAGGGGTATGTGTTCCTCTTCAGTGAGACTGCTGGGTGTATAATTCAGGAATCAGCTGAAAAAGATAGTATGATTATGGAAGGAACTCTTCATCCACTTAGCTCAATTCAGAGGTTTTGGGAAAAAATAACAAAGAGATTTCTGAGGTCTGGGAGGGCAGAGTTGCCTGTCTCTTTAGCCCCCGGTGGTTTCCATCTGCAGAAATATGTTGAGGGAACTCAAAAAGTGTAGGACTAGGTGTCTTTGAGACTTTCCCATAACCTTGCCTGACCAGGGTCGTGACATTCTGGGAAACATGACCAGTGGAGCTGATGATCAGAGCTGTGTCACCACCAGGGCCTGAAAGGGTAGATGGGGTTAGGGGGACGTTGGAATGAGTGGAGCTGAGTTGTGTGGAAAGAGCTGTGGAGAAAGGAGACACTCAGAGAGTGGGGCTGAGTCTCCGCCCACTTTCCGAGGGTGCAGATCTGAATCCCTGTGCTTCCAGGGGCACAAAGAAAACCAGACAACAACACTTAGCTCCTTTAGCCACAGACTTCATTGTTTGAATATTTGCAACTATTATTCTATACACAAATTTTAATTTCTTCCAAAGTCTACATTCTATATTGCTAGATCACTTCACTCTCCATTTTATGCCACATTTTCATGAAGAGGTATTTCCACAAATCACAATTTGCCTGAATGTGTGTTAAAGGATTCTGTTAGAGGCTCCCCCTCCCACTCAGAGAGTCAGTTTTTTCTGATACGAAATCTAGTTGTAGTTCCACTTTGATTTTTAGGATTGCTACATCCTCAGTGTGAGAATTTAATGTTGACTAAGAAATAAGTGATCACTGAAGACTTCCCTTCCTTCACGACACTGAGGGTGTGTTGTACAGTCTGAGCACACGTGGTCCAGAGAGGTTGCTCTATGAAGAATTTCTCATGACTTTACATTGATTCACTTCTCCAGGATGAATTATTTATAAGTATGCTTTGGTGTTGCTCAACATAATTGGGTATTTCTCAAGAGTTCACATCTTTGTTCTTGTTTTAGTGTTTATTTTTTTCGCTGAGTTTCTCGTGCACATCAAGCCTGGTGATCAGCTGAATGTTTGTTAACAGTCATTACAGTCTTAGTGGTTCTCTACCTGAAGATGGCTCGTGTTGAACAATAATTATCAAAGAAGAACTAGGGGTTGGTTATCCCCTGCTCAAGTCCTCTAGGGTCTTTAGAGTTGGGAGCTGTTGCTAAAAATACCCATATTGTATTTACAGAGTGAGTTCTGCTAAGTTACCTGAGGTCAGGCCAATGACTAAAGGCTTTGCCACAGAGACAGGGCACATATGGATCCACGTCCACAGGTGATGCCTGTCTGGACTGAGGAGTGTGGTGCCTGAACGAGTGTCCATATTGATTACAGAGTGTCTTTACTGGGTGTGAACTTTGGTGTGGTTAAATGCTAAAACTATGCTGGTGTTCCATCCACATTCCTCACATGTATGACGCCATGTCATCTCAGTTCAGGACGTCTACTGAGGGCCCTCCTGACTTTCTCTCCAGTGCTGAGTTCCCTCATGTCGTCTCAGGGAAGAGCCTCGACTGAAGCATTTCCCACACCACTGACATTCATAGGGCCTCTCTCCAGTGTGGGTTCTCTCATGTTCTCTCAGTTTAGCATGTTCACTGAAGGCCTTCCCACACAGAAGGCATACATGTGGTTTCTCTCCAGTGTGGATTCTCTTGTGCGAACTAAGCCCTGAACTGTGACTGAAGGCCTTCCCACACTCAAGACATACGTGTGGTTTCTCTCCAGTGTGGATTTTCTTGTGCGAACTAAGGCCAGAGCTTTGAAGAAAGGCTTTACCACACTGATGACATTCATAGCACTTCTCTCCTGTATGAGTTTTCTCATGTTGTTTCAAGGAGGAACTTTGATTGAAGACTTTCCCACACAGATTGCATTTGAATGGTTTCTCTCCAGTGTGAATCATCTTATGTCTTATGAGTGTAGAGCATCTACTAAAGACTTTCCCACATAGAGGACATTCATACGATTTAGCTCTAGTGTGAATGTGATCCTGTTTGTCAAGGAATGACCCTTGACTAAGTGATTTTCCATGCTGTTTGCTGACATTACTTTTCCTTCCTAAGGGAATTGGTGAAAGTTGAGGTGAAGATCTAGGAGTAAATTCATCACTCAAATCAGTCCATCCAACAGGATCCCCTTGTGTGTGAGAAACCTGCTTTGGGAAAAAGATAGGAGGCTGTTTCCGCTTGCCCACGTCTACGCAGACACTCATTCCTCTACATTTACACCCTATAGGATCAGTCAGTTATAGTCTCTTGTTAAAATGTTTCCTGTGTCAGTTGCATACACATGTTGTGTTACTCCTCTTCAGGCACAAACATTCTCTTTTATAGTTTCCCAACCCAGATATCAGATTAATTTTGAAGACTTCAGTTTGTTCTAAAGACTAGGAGATGAGCAATATTTGTGCAACTGACTTTTTCTTAGGTCTCATGTTGTGGTTTTGTGCTCATATTAATTTTTCAACTGACTTCAGCCTATCCAAAAATATTCCCAGAAAGAGCTCAATCTCCACTTAATTACATACAGGCAATTTTGCTCAATTGCCAACTTATCTCACTGCCAGGTCTTTCATTTGGATGACTGGTGTTCCACCCATGAAACTTACCATTGGCATGGTGGCAAATATGTGCTTCCTGTACACTTGTTGCATGAATATAATTTCTTGTTGTATAAGCGGACTTTCACTGCCTAAAGAAATGGAAAAAATATAAATTTTAAAATGCAATTAGGGAAATAAAAATGTAAACAAACACCAAGGTCCATGTGAGTATCTTTCAAAAGTTGGCACTTAGTTGGAGAAACAATGTATAATAAAGAAATACTCAAGGTAGTAGAAATACTTTAAAAGTCATTGTCTATTAGAGAAAAACAGGATTAAAATATAAAAATGTAATGTGGTGGAGAGACATTGGGTCAGCAAATGATGGAAAACACATTAAATGGGGCGATCAGGACAAGAATCACTATGTGAAAGTTTAACTGCAGTGAGTCCACAAGCACCCTTTCCCTTAAAGAATAGAAATGGCAGGAAGTAATGTGAATTTTCATTGCTAGATGCAAAGAGTGATAACAACATGAAGAATTTCAGCCCAGTGTCCTCATTTCCAGTTTAGAATGTATCGCTCACATCATAAAACTTTCATTTGGTGTTTCCAAGGACTTAACACACTGACTGAAACTCTTTTTCAGTGAAGCACAGGCCCCTGATTCTTACCTGGACTCTGGCCTTGGAAGCATCCTGTTGCTTCACTCCACAGCTCTTTTCCTTGTTCGAGCTGGGAAATCACATCTGATTTGCTGATCTGATACCCTGTTTGATTTGAAAAAGAAAAAAAAGTGTTGGATTTTGAGTCTGGGCTAATTACCCTTTGCTGTGCTCAAGTCCAGGGTAAGGGAAAGAGGAAAATAAAGAGATAATTGAAGGTCAGTGCAGGCAACAACATCTTCAACAGAGAGAACAGTGAAGGTCCTTCAGCAGACCAGGAGGAAATCCAGAGCAGCAGCAAACACAGTGAGGCCCTCTAGCGGCTGATGCCTGTGCACAAGTTCAAAGAGAGATTACAGAATCCTCAGTGTTTTCCAAATGGGAAAGATTGAAAGACTCTACAGTGGGCTGAATATTACTTTCAAACAGGAGCCAGTAAGGATACGCCTTACAGGAATCATCAAAATTATGTCATATACACGACTCTGGTCTCAAGCCTTCATGGAGTGACTAGAACAGAAGAATCATTTTAAAAATATTTGATCCATTTACTTATGCATTAAAATATCCATTGAATCCCCAGTTCTGTTCTGAGTGTAAACACTGAGTAGCCACAGAGATATGAAATGTGGCCAAGATTACTTTCCAGTGCAGTAATGAAAAGTGCCGTGAAAAGTAACGTCTTCGTTTTAAGTAGTTATGAGGACTATCAAAGAAGCAGGAAGGACTTGGAGTGGGACACGGGGAAGCTGATCTAAATGCCTGTTCGGTGAGTGAATGAATGCAGTGAACACACGTGCACGTACATCCGTGTTGACAGACTCACCTACGGAGACCAGGTGGGTGATATTATCCAGCATCACGTTTCTGAACAGGGTTTTCTGGGATGTGTCCAGCAGGGCCCACTCTTCCTGGGTGAAGTTGATCGCTACATCTTCAAACGTCACTGATTCCTAAAACATCAGGGATGTTCTGGTTTAGACAGAGCGGTCCCTACCACTGTCCAGGGTGGGAGGGTTGAGATGAGGAGGTGATGGGGTCTGGGTGGATAAAGGATCACGCTCTGTGTGGGGTTTCCCTCGGTTCTCTGCCAGCGCTGAGCTGGTGTCTGCCTTTCAGGTACATTCACGGACACCTAAACACTCTGACATCATGAAACTTTATTTCACAGAAATATCACTTGAAGTGTGTTATAATACATTGCAGAAGTTTTTCAATAACCTGGAAATTAGGACTTCCAGAGAGTTGATAATAAAAGATTCACTTGCATATTCATAACTCAATCTCTCTTCCTTATTAATTTCAAGGAATTCTACAGATTCATGACAAGACAAACAATAACCATGATGGGCTACTTTGAAAACATGACTCTGGGTTTAAATTATGTCCCTAGAGGAATCTTTGATTCTCCAAAAAGAAGCTGCTTTCATTACTTGTTATGAGTGTTGAAATCATCAAATATATAATTGTATGAAGTGTTTCCGTTCTAGCAAACCTATGCTAAATACAAAACACTATTCTACTAATCATGCAATTGTCAGAGGATCATGAAGAAATGCCTAACATTCCTCAGAACTGAGCAAGGTTCACACAGAACTTGGTACCAGGAGGTGTTCTCTCTCTTAACACTACAGGACTCAGGTGTTCATAACAAACTTTGAGGTCAGATGGTTCAGCAGAATAAGCCGGGGACTTGGGTGGCTGGAGTGAAAGACAGACCTAGCCTGACCATCGCTGTGGCATGAGGACTCCCACTCAAGATTTTCAGGGACCTTGACCTTAGTTATCACTGTTTCTCTTGTAATCTAATCTCATCTCCATGCTGAGGGATGAAAGAAGCCTAGTGATTGGTTTTGTTTTCTCCAATTTTTCAAAAATCTATTAGAGAACCTAATTTTATTCTACCTACTGTACTGTTTCTCCTTTCTGTGCAGCACAGTTAAGAAAATACTCCTCCCTACACATTCCTCCCAGTTATCGAATATGAATAAAAG